CAAACCGGCAACGATCGCTCCGAGCGGAAGCAGACGATCGCGATCAGGAATACGGGACGCCGACGCGAAACGCACGGCCCGAATCGAGAAACCGCGTCGCTTATCAGAGCGTCGGGAGTTACAGCTCGACCGGCAGCCACGACCAGGTGGACGGCGGATTGCTGGCGGTGGTCGATCAGCCTGACCCTCTCGTGAGCCTCATTCAATCTCTAGCCGAGATCTCACCGATTCGCGCATCTCCGAGCACGCCGAAAGCCGCGAACGAGCATCCCGTCGGCGGCAACGCGATCGCAGCTACTACAATGCCTGCCAGTGTGCCTAGCAATGTTACTAATTGCTCCTCTAATCAGTCGCCCAAAGCATGGCAGAATTGCACTCAGGTTTGTCTCCCGCTCACGCAAACCCCGCGCGCAAACCCATATCCAGCACTCGGTATGTTTTATAACAGTCATTTGCCTTATTGTTTCTTTTTTTTTTTATGCGTGTCGCTAGTGATTAGTTACTAATTGAGAATTGGTCTCGGCACTTGAAGCACGCCTCGCTTGGCTGGTAGAGCGTAGACTGGCGCAGAAAACGGCGTTGTGCATTTCCGTTCGCGGTTAATCGATGTCTCGTCAGTTCGTCGCATCTCGCCTAGCGTCTCCGCGAGCGAGCACGCGCAATTACAACGAATCACGTTAAAATTTCACAGCCGCACAATGACTCGGCGTCATCGTGGACCGAGAGGAGCGTCAGTCCCGGGAGCGCGGTCGTCAGCGGCGCCTCGCGTCCGCAGACGCCGGCGTTTCCGGTTCATCCGCGGACGCCGTACGTCAACAACGCGTCGCCCACGGTGACGTTCGCCAGCGATCGCACTTACATGACGTCCAACAACAGCTACAACGTTAGCAACAACAACAACAACGAGGCCGGCGGTAATAATAACAACAACGTCGGGAACTACGGCGCCGAACGAACGATATATATCGAAGAACGAAGAGAAGTCTCGAAGGAGACGGGACTTCCCCCCAAGAGTCCGACAACACAGCGGTAGGTTCCACTTTCTCTCATTCTCAACGTGTCTTACAGTTTTTAACGTAATCGCATTGAGATTGGAAAAATTCTTCGGAATTTTTGTTCGATGCTGATATTATTATCTATCGATAATTTTAACTTTCAAAAATATTGGGTGACAAAATGCAAACATTTTCCGCTCATGACATATACATATTTTAATTTTTCAATATTACAATTTGTTTACCTTAAACTTTGATGATTAGCGCTGGGATGCAGCACATCCGATACTTGAATATTTTGCAAATAATACGAAAAATAATTTCCACAAGCCACGCGTATGGCGTGAAAGATTTTTCTGTGAACGCGACAGAGGATCGCAAAGAGGGATGATGACGCAGAATGATATTCGTGATTCTAGACGCTTGAGTTTCCCGGCAAGCGGGCCGCTTAAACAAATGCATAACAAACGATGGCCGCTCACTAACCAATCGGCGTCGTTCGACTATAGGTAATATACACGAAGAAATCGCGCGAGCGAGTGAGCTCTGCAATTGAATATGCAATTAATGGCGTTAACGTTAATCACAGCGACGGAGAGCGTCGCGTCCAAATATTTGCACTATGAATGTTTTGTGTCATGTTGTACTAACCGCGCGTGTTGATACGCTCGGAATGCATCGTATCATAGATAATGTATCACTCTTCACACGATAATACGATATATGACCAGAAAACACCGCCATACATTGAACCTCTCTCTCTCTCTCTGTCTTTCATAATCCGAATAACATGTAACGCACCTTTTAATGTCTGTCTCGTCACAAATTGTAAATGTTTTTTTCGTAAGTAACGAAAGAATCACACGCCTCGCTAGAATTCATGCAACATATTCGATCCCATTTCTTATCTTACGTCCATGCAGTTGTAACAGGGGAGATTTAGCGCGCTTCGTATCATAAATCGCGGCCGCGTATGCCGGCCACACTGTGTGTTGCACCTTCAAACTAACAAGAACTCGCGCTTCCTTGCATCGTGTGTGATAGAAACTTCTCGTGTATCCCAAGTACATGTTATCGACGAAATAAACTATATTACTGAGGAACTAAAGTAAACATTTCCACCATCCTCCCCCTCTCCCCTCCGTCGAGACGTTTTCGAAGAAGAGATTCTTTTCCATCAACCTATTTTCCCCGCTTTTCGCTAGAGGCGTTCGTCCCCTTTAATATCGGAGGCGCACCTCCCGCCTCTCAGACTTCCCTCAACAACAGTGTGTATACCGTCTTTTCCCGGTGTTTTCCTCACGATGTACAGCACTATGCACGAGTCAGCCAACACACACACACACGTCTGTCTGCACGGAAATGTCGATATATTCGCGCGGAATATCATCTAACGTTGCGCTCGGTTGCTCGTTTTACAGCAAGGACCGACCTGTTTCTCCGGTAAGCGAATCGACGATGTCGCAGCCGCAGGCTGTCTCGCGCAGTCCTGGAACACCGACCCACATAGAATTCGCCCAAAGCCCCAAGGTGAGCATCCTGATATTGCATTACGTTCGCATCGCGCTGTTTGTTCCATTCAACGCTTCCAAAATAGAAAAATAGCGCTCGTGTATTTCGCGGAACTTGCAATCGAATTAAAACTTTGCTCAAGCTTCAAGTTTGAAGCGATATGATTTGAAATTAGATACGTTTGTCAGCGTTTTATTAGATTTAATATTTTGATGTACGCGAGAGGAAGATGTACAGCTTTTCCTTTTGGGTTTCGCAGAGCGCTGCGTCATACACCTCGATCAGCAGCGGTGGTTCGCCGCTCCAAGTCCAATATTACAGCAGACGTTCCAGCGTTCATTCGAACACCGAGCCTCAGGAAGTAGCCGACGCTAATGTGAAATTCGTACGAGACACCAGCAGGATTTGGTACAAACCCAATATATCGCGGGAGCAAGGTAATCATTTTTATTATTCCACTCATCTTTTACAATCGAGTGATTTATTACTTTAATCACTAAATGAAACGATCGCAATAGTTTCAATTTTATTTCTAAGCCACGCTATCTAATTGCATAAGAAAATCTCCGATTTTCAGCAATCTCGATGCTGAAAGATGCGACACCCGGTACATTTGTGGTACGAGACAGCAACTCGTTCCCGGGTGCCTTCGGGCTGGCATTGAAAGTTGCAACGCCTCCTCCAGGCGCGCCCAGCAGCCCGCGAGATCCCTCGAGCGAGCTCGTCAGGCACTTCCTGATCGAGCCGACGTCGCGCGGCGTCAGACTAAAGGGTTGCGCGAACGAGCCGGTCTTCAGCTCACTCTCGGCGTTGGTTTACCAGCACAGTCTGATGGCGATGGCGTTACCTTGCCAACTGCTGCTACCTGAGCCGGAAGCAGCTGCCAGAGCCTTAGACTCACCTGGTACTAATAGCACTCAGCAGCTCCTCGCTCAGGGCGCAGGTAACTGATTGCGCACACTTTTTAATGCAAAATTGAAATAGAAGGAATGAGAAGAGGCTTGAATAAACTTTCTCACAGTCGAATTAAGATCAATTTAAGGCAAATTACATTGATTAGATGAGATGCGGGAATCCTAAATCTGGTCGCTGCTAGACGCTTTAAACTGATTTTATTTTCAAGCCTTTTAATTTGTTAAGAGTAAAAAAAAAAAATGTTTTTAAATATATCAAATATTATTCTTTGCAGCATGTAACGTTTTATACCTCTTCACGGTTGACACGGAATCCTTGACCGGCCCGCAAGCCATAAAGAAAGCTGTCACCAGCCTGTTCGAGCAGAAACCGCTGCCGGTCGCCACGATTGTTCACTTCAAAGTTTCCACGCAGGGCATTACTTTGACCGACAATGCGAGAAAGTTATTCTTCCGCAGACATTATCCCACAAATAACATAAGTTATTGCGGACTGGACACTGAAGAACGCACGTGGGAGTTCGACAACGACGACGCCATCAGGAGATCACTTAGCGCTCAGTATGTTTTCCAAATTTAACACGCTGTGTTAATTATCAATGATAAAATAATGACAAATCTCTGATATTTTAAAACACAACACTTGAAAGTGTCATTATTTCTTTTTTTAGTCGCTGCTTCGGCTTCGTAGCGAGAAAACCCGCCCACAAATCGGACAATCAGTGCCACGTGTTCGCCGAATTGGAACCAGAGCAACCGGCCACGGCCATCGTCAATTTCGTAAACAAGGTCATGATGGGAAGCTCCATCGCCAAAGCTAACATCGTTTAAGAAATCGCTACTCGCTCGCCACAATTTGCCAAAAAAATCAACGGGCACAAACATCACCGCGAATTTTCATCGATTCCACCTTCAAAATTGACACATATCTTCTAACGCGAGAAAAAGTTTAGAATCCGATTGGAGAGCGATCGAGAAACGAATAACGGGACGAATGAATCGATATAATCGATTAACAAAATCATTAATCCGCTGTCACGCGGAGGACGCGCGCGGATTCTTGAAAAGGATCCCGCTGCAAAGTGACCGCACGAATTAATCATTATTGTTAACTGACTACTCGTAATAAGTCGTCGTGCATTTCGTAGCGTTGAATCAGTAGGACATTCATGTTATAAACAGTAGGGACGGCATAATTATCGGTAGCACTGCGAAGAGATCGAGGATCCCTCTCTTCGGGATGAGATCGAGGAGAACGGACGAGAGGCGATGCGTAAATCGATTCCATCCTCGCGTCAATATGCAGCCAAGATGAGAAAGTTGTTATTATGATTATCGTCACTGTTGCGATGTAACGTAGCGAATAGTAGAGTGCTATAATGAGTGGTCTAAAGAAGGTAAGGTGGCTAAATAACTATATTTAATTATTTAATATATTCGAATTGATTTTAATAAAAAAAAAACTATAATCATCTTGCTTTGCGTTGTTATTTGAAACATAATTACAATTTAGCGTATACTATTTACTATTATTAAGCAATTAATATTTCGTATTTCTAATTCTACAAAGTATATTTAAATGATATTTATACATATATATCTTAACATTTTCCAAAGATAATTTTCTTGCAAAAATTAAAATCTATTATTTTGCCATCTTTCTCCACTTAAGATACGATTGATCAGCCGCACGCGAACTTATCGATAGCTCGTAGTCATAGTTGAAGAAAATCAACCGTGCCCTTCGTGCGATCTACGAAGGGCATCGAACATTCGAAACGAGCGTATCTCGCGCGAAACTGAGTGCGCCTTCGATTTCGGAAAACTATGTACGCACCGCGCATGCATAAATAAATACACATACACTTACACATTGTTACACATATTACATTCACGTAACTATCACACGAAAGATAACAAAACAGATACTCGCGCATTAATGACTAATCTAAGCAATGCTATCTATGCTTTAATTTCTGATAAACTTCCTTATTTTGTTTTCTTCAAGAACATTTAATTACAGACTTTGTGATTCTGATCCAAAAACATTCTAACAATTATAAATTTTAATTATAATTTAGGAGAAGATTATCGAAATGAAATTAAAATAACAAATTGATCGTTGAACAATGCGCGAGCATCTTGAATCCATATATTATCATGTTATACTTGAGACTCTCGAGTAATGTTTGGCAGAGAATGTTACGTCGTTATCAGAGCATATTATACATACTCACACATACGTAAAAAAAAAAAATATTTCCCGTATCATGCTCCCTCGATGTATGAATGGATGACGTTATAAATAATTTATAACTGTAAATATGCCGACGCGAGATAAAGTCGCCTTAAAAGGAGGCCTTGAGGAGACACCTTGAGGAAGACCGTCGCGAGCTGACGTCCGGCTCGCGACCGACGGAAAAAAAAGCAATGCTACGTTTAGGATCAGCTCGGAAGTCACGCAGGAACTGTGAAATGCTACTCGAGGAGTATGTACGTGACGAGGCAGTATCGCGCGTATTCTTTCGGTGAACCCATAGATTCTTGCCATTTCGGGCTCGTGTATCCGTCGAGCGCCCGCCTTCGAAGAGCGTCTCGACGGGCGCGACGATGAGCAGTCAATTATTACGATCAAATCGATTATATTGTAATTATGACAATATGACGGCGCGAGAGGACCACCGATGCTCGCAGCAGCCCGGCTCTCCTCTCGCCGTCGCCAACTTCTTCGTCTCTACTTTCGCGGTTCTCTTCTATCTGTTTTGTCTTCCGGACGAAGATCGGCCGAAACTTCGGCGTTTCCTCTGCTCCCTCTGCGAACACACCGCCGCGATCAAGAGGAAAGAGGACTCGCAGTTACGCAACGTGCTAGTCAAAATTCGTGCTGTATATTCGATGGTCGAGGAGTACGTTAACGTTGGTCCTGGGAGCCCTTCCCGCGCACGCTTGGCCCTTTAATGGCAACGGACGTGAAATACGATGAATCGTCTTGAAGATATCGGGCTCGAAACGACGCTTTCGAATGCGATTGGACGTCGCTGAAAAGACGCAGGGCCCGCTTGGGAGAACCGACCGTGTCTTCCTTTGCGTCCTTTCTTCCCTTTGTTGTCCGTCTGCCCTTTCTTTCTCCGTCTCGACTCCCTTTCGTGTACGCGCCTAAACCCGACTAACAGCGTAACATTAATTTAACACATTCAGTCATTATAATAATAATTATTAATATTATTACTTGTTTACGCTCTATTATTATTCTCCGTACGTTTACGCAATAATTGTATCGTTGCGTGCCGCATGGGTACGCGCGCATAGTTGTAACAACAATAAATCATATTCACGAATCCAGTCTTGTTATTTATCCTGTCATTTTAGACAGTTTCTTCACTCGATTCATTTTATTACAGTTGTTTATTATTGTACTTAGCACTCGAAAATTCAATCTTACTTTTTATAGATACAAATAAAGTTACAGGAATTAGTTTCGTTAATCTTGTCGTCTTTCGTACATGAATCCTATTATTAATTTTCTTTATAAATCTCAACTAATGCAAACCAGTGTAAAGAGAAATTGCGCTTGTAGTTGTAAATAGCCTGTTTAAATCTTTAAATATTTTTATATATTTGCTAACGTAAGAATGTTATTTTAATTACAGTGATTACGCAAGACGTAACGTGAGGTGTCATCACGCAGAAAAGTGCATTCGATACAAGTAATTACAGTTTGAACGCTAGTATCGAGAAAACGTGTTTGGCTAACGGCAAACTTACTGACCTACTCTTCGCCGTGTCATACCAAACAAATACATCGGAATGCATTTACACCACCTGAAAACTTATGCTGCATTATTTAATTAACAAATAACCCAGATGGAAATATTTTTCTGAAAATTTAACGAAATTTTGCTG